AAAAAAAGTAGTACTAAGCCAAATATATATCCTGTCGAAGGAGAGGAATAATCAAGGAAATCGATTAAAGTTAACTAACACAAATCCTTCCATTTGCTATTAATAAATGTTTTTCTCGAAATAATTATTCTTTAAATGTTCCTTCGACTTCTTGCTAATCTCTTCATTAAGGCTCTTTTATTAAACCTAATTTATGAAAGATGAGTATGTGAAGTACCCAGCATCCAAATGACCGAACTTATAAACTTTTCTTGTCCTCATTTGTTTGTATGCGCAAATATTACCACAACGTAGACAAACTCAGCTTTGAATACAAATAAAAGAGAAGCAGAAAACATAGCTTACGAAGCTCAGAATCGCTCAGATACAACAAAAACAATTCCACTTCCCTGCTCTTACCAAAGTGACGACATTTCTCCACAGAGCCATTATGCATTCATACTTCACTTCATCGATCCAAACAAATAAGCGGAATTACGCTAAAAACGAGTGTTATATGATATAGAAAGATTGATGAAAGGGCTACACGCCGTTGGATGAAACATAGGCGGTAATATTGAAGCAGTGGTAGGAAGTTATCACCGCAGTTGCCTTGAATTTGATTCCTTTTCTGTACGACGGAGCGAAGCACATTGGCTCACTCTCTCCCGGAGAAAAAAATAGAACTTTTTGGCTCTCCATTACTGAGCCCAAAATTTTAACTCTACCGTAATTATTCAGCCTTCTCAACTAAAGACCGCACTTCATTGTAAGTTAAAATAATTGCCTATCCTGAAGTGAACCTTTGCTAACAATTGAGTCAAATGGCATTTAAACAGAAAGCCCAACTCTCCTCAATGAAAGCATTTCCAACACACCAATTTGAAATATCTACAAGTTTTTTTTCCTTAAAAGGACTTATTTTGGCTGTGCCACCCACAGACGAATGAGTTAACCTTAATACACAGTCCTGCGTTTTAATGACACATGGTGCCGTAAAAGTGAACTCCACATTTCATAAATCATTTTGTTACCAATCATTATTTAGATTTTACGCACAATGCTCAGACATAAATAACCAGCTCTCACCTATTTACTCCTGCATTATACTTCCCTAGCAAAGATTAATCAATACACCAGGCTACTGCATTCAGTCCGTCTTTAAGTGACTCAGCAGATTTGCAATGGAAAAACCTTAAGGCAGACGACACGAGCACGCTCCTACAATAGTCCTAAGGAACAGGGTTATTCTAAAAACCGATTAACTCACTTCCTATGATTGAAAACACATTTTTTCTAGGTTACGCCGCTTAATGTTAATCTTTAGAAGAATAAACGCAACTTTATTAACTTAGGAATGAAAATCCTCGCCAATATTTACCTACGTTTATTCGAGAAAATGGATTATGGGTTTACGTTGATCAAGAACAGGTGGTTTGGAAGGAAACGGGTATACAGCCTAAAGAAGCTGTAGCAAGGGATTCATAAATCAGCTCATAAAGAGAACACGCTTCTTAAATTCCCGAAGATCCACGATTTCAGTAATTTTTGGAAGTTGAAATTCCTTAACCTCTGAATCCTCCTTCTTGCCATTCGGAGTGGACTCGCCATCTCCGAAGGGCAAGAAAGCACCAGGTGCCACTGCTTCAGAAGCACAAGCCTTCAGGGCTTCTCCAACGTCAACCGCGGTTGCTGACTTGTATTCGGCTTCAATCTGGCTCTCTGTCATGGGCACAATTTTAATTGGCCATTGGTAGGTCTTCAATAGAGCATTGCTGATCTCGGCACCCTCCATTTCCTCGGTGTTTTCTCCAGTTGTTTGAGCTTCCACCTGCAAATTAAATAAGACAAATACACACACTTAAGACCTCCATTATTTCCAATAGGGCCTACCTTCTGATCCTCGTTTCACATTACTTAAGGATAAGGAAAGCTGAGATAACAAGGGCCAGTTTCATATATTAAGAAACTCTAATATCTCCGCTCAGCAACAATAAAGCTGAGGACTATTAGCTTCTTTGGAAGACAGGGGAAAAATCTAAAATTTTGGCTTTGCAACAATGAATAGGAAACTGAAGGCAGCACGCATTTAAAGATGGAATTTTCGGTTGATACACTTTTGATACTCCTACTTCAACCTATACTTTCATCAGATTCCTGTTCTTTAACACACATTCGATCGCCCTACAGTCGTTTTAGTTCAAATATTTTTGCAAGACTACACACTTAAGGTTATACGTCTTGCCATGAGCAATAATAATAATAATGTATGGAAAACGCACATCTGTATGCATTGGCATGATAAATCGAGCCCTTTAATTGAAATAAAATATCTCCATTCTCACGTGCTCCACTCACAGATTTCCACCATTTGTCTTCTTTCACTCTATTCCTTTCTTTATAGAACGCTCACTCACAGTGGTGGAAATTTGCATCTCAACACCTACTGTTTAGTGCCTTAGCTCATGTCAAAGCATGTCAATTAAGATACGGAGAAGTAAAGAGTTACATTTAACACACACACTGGGATGCGATCTAATCAAGACGTGTTCTCTCTATGACCATCCGGATAACTGCCCTGGGCCACAGAGAATAATGGCAAATTGGAAAAGTAAATGGCTTACTGCATTAACATTAAACAAAGATTCAAGTATTAAACTGCTATTCATTTTTATAATTGAGACATACCTGAATCATGATAGAGGGCTGCTTGTCAAAATCATAGAACGTATTCCTGTAGAACTCTTGAAGATCACTTAACTTCAAACGCTTGAGAATTGCAATCTACAGAGCAAAAAAGAAAGTATTGGCGAGGAAGGTGCACACAGAAGTTGAAAACTCAACTTGACATACATATTTGTAACGACGCTCAAATTCATGGCATATTGAAAAGACTTCCCGTTTGACACGATCCGATTCCACGTCCATGGTTGCCTCTTCAGTCATATTTGACGCTATCTCAGCCTCAACCTAAATTAAATGACAAAGCCAAAGAATTAAAAATTATCATCAACTATCTCTATTAAGGCACCACTTAAAATCTGTAGAAGCCAGACAAAACCACTAATGAGGTAAATATAGGACACCAAGAACTCCTCGAGGCCTTTCGAAAAAGCGCTGAAACCAACGACTTGGAGGGAGATAGCCATCCCTCTCACTGACTGTGACAAAATGAGCAAGAACTTTACGACTTTTGACTTGGCGGTCACGTACATTGACCATTGTCCCACCGGTGCTTTAAGTAAATACACTTCAATCGATCAAACTGTGGCACAACCTGCGCATCGAATGAACCAACTGTGACCAGTAGCTGGATAGGGGGTTGCAGCCATCCGTTGCTACCATTCCCAACGTTTTTAATCTTCATTCACCTCTGTCATGACTGCCATCGTTCACAACTCATTTCACTCTTTTGTTCCCCCTCTCGAATTTTTCTCACTTTGATGTTCTTCCCTCTGTGAAGCCCGAAGTCAGCTAAATGGCTAATGACAGTTATCAAAACGCCTGCCATTTGAAATAAAGACCAATCGGTTTACTAAGCCTTTAACAGTTTTAGTCTGTGTGGTGTACACGTCAATTACAAAACGCTAGGCACACTCCTTGTCTCCTCTCAATTAAACCAACAGATCAAAAGTTCTGTCTCACTCCTACATCAAGCTTGGTAGCCACAACTAGTTGATAGAACACTTTAAATCGACTTTGCTCACGTAATTTTCTCCTCCACAACACCGAGCCACTTGCCTTTCCAAGTTGAGGCAAAGGTGTGATACATTAAAAGTCT